TCAGTTTAGATGTGTTCAGCTTAAGATGTTCTGTCGGACAGCCAAGTGCCCAAGGAACCCCTGGGAGATCAGGAGTTGAGAGAAGATTTGGGGTGCATATGGAAACCGGAAATCATTACAATGAATGTGAGTAAAGTTTAAGAAGAGAACCAGATAAAGAAAAAGTGGTCCTTGGCTCCATCCTTAGAAAAAAGTGGGGTTTTTCATGCCGCCTCTGCTGTGTGGAGATCCCAGATGGCTTAGCAGTAGCAACTATGCTGTTATGAAATACTGTGTCACCCTGAGCAAGATTGGACCTTGTCTCCTCATCTCTGTCAGAAGGAGCTTGATCTCCAAAGGGGTCTGAACGTTTCTGTTAGTTACAGAACCCTTCCTTCAAAGGCCACCTGCAAATACTGTGTCACCCTGAGCAAGATTGGACCTTGTCTCCTCATCTCTGTCAGAAGGAGCTTGATCTCCAAAGGGGTCTGAACGTTTCTGTTAGTTACAGAACCCTTCCTTCAAAGGCCACCTGCATATGCACAGCCAGATGGATGTAAGGGGCTCTGTTGGGGAGGGTTGGTGGGAGGTGATGGGCAGCAGAGGAGCAAATGGGGCACGTGGAGCTCAGCCACACTGGCTTCCATTTCTCTTTGTCTCCTTCTTCAAGGTGCATCTATAGAACCTCAGACTATTCACAAGACTGTGTTTGTAAGTTACTATCCTGGTGACCTTTCATACCCCTTAAAGCTCTAAAATCCCCTAATGATAACGTGAATAACCTGGCATATGTGTGCTATATTACAATGTAGAAGGTGCCTTCATCAATCTCTTTTGTCCATGATCTCCTATCTTGTGAAGCAGTGGAGGTAAATTAAGGGGCTTGTGTCTCAGTGCGGGTTGGATGAGTTACCTGAAAGCCTATGGCTGCAGAGTTTCAGGGGAGGGCAAGAATGTTGTGGTTTTCTCACCAATTGTTTCCTAAATCCTGCTGCCTTTTCTGTGTCTTGCCATCCTTTGAGCAGCCACCATATGAATGACTGAGCAGTGAATGTGATGGAAATGTCGCATTCCCAGACTCTGGCTGCTCCTGGTCTTGGGCTGGTCTGAGCTGAGTCAGTTTGTGTAGGATAGTAGAGAAAGTTCACACTGGCCAGGCTCCTGCACCGGCTCCCACATGCACTTAAAGATCCCTTTTCATTCCAGTGACCATCTCCAGGCCCCACAGAACCTTCTCTGCCCCATTGCACTGCATTGTACCTCGGAGGTACAGGTCTGTTCTCCTGGCCCTTTGGCGAGACTGTGTGCTCTTTGGATAGACTGTTTGGATTTAGGTCCTGCTCCTCCCTACGCAGTGGTTCTTTCTTTTTCTTGCCCTCCACATTCCACTAGACTCAGAAACTGGCTGAGATCCCTTGCTTCTGGGCCTCTGACTCTCTGCAGGACTATCAAACCAATGGCTACAAAAATTCACCGATTGGATACCTGAAATGGGTAAATCTTAGGAGATGTAAAATATCCCTCAATAAACCTCAATAGTTAGTGATATGTAACCATAACTCCTTCTTTATGTAATAAAAATAGGGCCCAACCCAGACACGGGAACGTCCATGTTTTAAATTACTTTGGTTTTCAGGAAGCTGAGGAGTTCTGGATTTGGGAGAGGTCAGAGTTCAAGAGGTGACTGACTGCAGCTTAAATTGTGGAATCAGTTCTTAAAATATGATCATTCATGAATATGAATTTTGACAAGTTCAGTGACATTTTTCATGGTGCTCTATCTGGTAGACAAGCTAGAAAACTGAAGCAGAGCAGTTAGGAAGACTGATTGACCTCTGATGGAGGGCACTTCGAGGGCTGCCTCTCTCCCCCACTTCCCGCCCCTTCACCTTGCTTTCCAGTCTTTTCCCTTCCCACTCTACTTTTTTATATACAATTAATACATAGTTGCTGTAGATAAAATAAGAACATGAGACAAAATTTAAATTGAACATGAGACAAAATCGCACATACAAGTCGTAACACGTTGACTTGTTTCAGACTTTCCAGGGTGCTGCCTACTTCTGACAGGCCAGATAGCACCACTGTGAACATCTTTGATGTGCTTATTGACTCTCTGGGCTACATCTCTAGAAATGGAACTTCTGGGCTAAAAGGGGTACACTTTACATAGTGCCCTGTCCCCCGAAATCTACCTGTGCCATGGAAATGGGAGCAGTGTGGGTTTTTGGTATACCTTAGTCCAAAATGTGACCTGGCCACCAGAATTTACTGTGCTTCTCGGCTTCATAACCAGCTAGCTTTATCCTGTGCAGACTAGGACAGATGGCATTGACCTTGCCCCAAGGTGATCAGACAATACCTGTGGCATTGATTTTAATCCCGAGCACAAGGCATTAACAGACTGGCCACGTGAGTCTAGGCAAGAGGCAGTGGCCAAATGGGACACCATGCGTTACGAGGGATAATTGAGGCACCAAATATTAGTGGCTCGTGAGAAGTCTGGGAAGGATATGGTTAACTGTCTTCAAGCACTTGAAAGGTTATTATGTCCAGAGAAATTAGGTTTACTCCATGTAGCTGTAAGGATAGAATAAGCAGCAGAGGTTGGATGTTTTAGGAAAGCAAGATTTGGTTTAATGTAAGAAAGCCTTGTCTAATAGGACAGTCTGAAAATAGATGGGGTTCCCCCTGTTCACAGTGGAATCCCCCTTATCTCTACATCCCTGGAGATCTCTAGCAGGGCTAAGTGTCATTTGGATGAAGAGGTATGGCATGTGTGTGAAGGGAATGCATCGTAAGGATTCGATTTGGAGACCTTTGAGAAAACTGTGACTACAAGGCCATGAACTTGAAATCACAGCTCTGATTACAGTAGTCTGTTACAAAGCCAGATGAATTATTCTGCAAATACCATTTATTCTCTTAACTGTTTCTTAGAACAAGGAAGTAATTTATTGAACCTTCTAATCTCATGTTTTCTACACTCAGCTCATTGGTGACTAAGAGTTCAGGCTTCTGATGATCTTTGGCATCCAGTCCAGTTCTTGTCAAAGCTATGCAGGGAGATGGCTCTTCTTAGTTGGTATTTTTCTTGAATTTTATGCTGTTTGCCAACCATCAGTCTCTCAGATCTTAAAACACCTACAGCTGGTAAAAGGTAAAGGGGTGGTTTTCACATACTGTTCATCTCTGTGTAGTCTTTTCATCTTAAAAAAAACAAACACCTTAAATACCACTTTTAACATTTTTTTGAGCTGAGCCATATTGCAGTGTTTCTGAATCCTGCCTATGGTAACAAATTGTACTTTTCCATTGAAGAAATAACAGGCATTCAAACTTTCCTTAATATTTTTTACTCATAGTTTCCTTATTTTGGCATCAGTACTTTGAGAAGTTAAAGAATAACTAGGTGGGTCCCCAAATCCATAAGAATATGTGAAAATTATCTCTGTGATTTTAATGTTCTTAAAGCACAACTGTTTAAAAAATAACCTCTTGCCCCTCAAAATCTGGTCTGGAAAACAGCAGAAAGGTATTGGAAGCTTGGTAAGAAATGCAGCATCTCCAGCCCCGCCCTTTGTAGTCTGCTCTATAGTAAGTCATCCTGCTGGTGGTATCTTCCTAGGTGACCTGCTGCAGAGCTTATGGGCAGCGGGAATTATCTCAGCTTGGTGGTGGTTTTGGTTTTGAGCACCTGTTAACGTGCCTGGCATTGTGACGAGGTCCTTTCACATGCATGAACCCATTTAATCCCCAGAATCACCTTCTTAAGGAGGTATTATTAGAGGCTCAGAGAAGTTGCTGCTGAGCCTGCCAAAGGTGTCGCCAAATGACGGTTGCTGAAGTCTGTATTTCCTAAACCTGAGATGGGAAAATGAGGCCCAGCTTGTAGTGGCCTGATCTGGCCGAGTGTGGCAGCGTTCAGTTGCTCCAGGTTGGTGCGCGGGGCATGCCTTGTGCTTCCCAGCTGAGCCCGGGCCCCTTGAGGGAGGACTGCAGAGGGGCATTTCCCCAGCCATGGAGGCTCAGCCTCTGGCCATTCACGGTCCAGTGGTGACTTGGTATGAAGGGCCTCGGGAGAAAGAGCACATATAGAGACCCCACACGCCACCTGCAGGCTTCCTGAAGCCTCAGTCACGAAAGATGGTCAGGCATCTAGATAAACACATTTCTCAGGAGTTACTTACACCAAAATAGGGTGTGTGTGTGTGTGCATCTTCAGTCTCTTTGAATTGAATCCTTTAAAAGACTAGATATTTATTAGAAATTAATTCTTATCCTTTGATTCTGAAGCCTTTAGGATTTTCGTGAATTGAGAGAAGGGAAATAAAATCATGATAATAAGTGATTTTTAATCATTAAGTAATATTTCTGTTTTCCTGCCTACATTCTTTTCCAAAACCATTCTTGGATGCTTAAGAATGATTGTGTTTGTCATACCTGGTACACCTCAAAGAAAACAACTTATTACCCCAGTAGGAAACTCATAACTTGGAAATAACAGGATTTTAAAATTTTACAAAATGTGAGGTGCTGGGAAAACAAAAATATGGAGAGGTTATAATTACATTTGTTTAAGAAGTACCACTTAGGAAAATTAACTCTGGTAACTAACATAAAATCAGTGTAACATTTTAGGATTAATTTATGTATTTTGCAATTGTTTATATACTTATTTAGCACTCAGATTAAGCCTTAGATGGAATCTAAAAGGAGGGCACATTCTAAAATCCACAAGCCCTTTCTGATACTGCTGCAAGAGTTTTCTTCCCATTCTTTGAACAATCAGGGCCAAATTTCAACTCCCCAGCCACTGCCATTTGGTGGTGGTTTTGTTTTGCGTTCGGTATCATCCTATTTCCTTTTTCTTTTACACTGACATTGACTTTATTTCATATGAATGCGTAGTATATCAAATACATATGCACTTAAAATATTGTTTTGATTTGTTTGTGAATTGTTTCTCTTAAAGGGCCTATCTGGGGAAATGAGTAATTTCTCACATCCTGTTCTTGCAGGAAGAATTTTAAATCGTTTCTCCAAAGACATTGGGCATATGGATGACTTGCTGCCCCTGACATTTCTAGATTTCATCCAGGTAACGTAACAGTAACGTCAAGTTCTCAAATGGAAAAACCAAAGTTCTTACTTTTTTCAAGGCCCTTTTCTGGGGACTGAGGGTGGTTCTTTTAGCCTGGCCATGTCATGTTATCTTATTAAAAGGCCATGTTTGTAAAAGAAAGGTGTGGTTATGATTCGGAGGCTAAGTTAACATGAGTAATACCTCATGTGTAGGAGTGACTACACAGTCATGTCAAGGTTGGTTCGAAGCAGCTACATGCTTGGTAAGTGGTTCTCCACCTGCCTTCCAGGTATCTGGCGTGAGTTTCATTTGGCTGTGAGCACATTTCATAATAAAGAAACAATCACCTCTCACGGAAAGATAGCCTAGATTAACTAAATTATGCATTGTATTGCCACAGAGGACAAATATTTACTGCACTATTTTTTTTTTTTTGGATAAAACCAGGTGTGGTTACTAACAAAGAAAAGATTAGTAATAATAAGGTGAAAATAATACTTTGTTAACAAGAACAATGGAGAGCAGTTATTGCAGATAACAAAGCTTTTAAAGGCAAGTATGTTTAAGCCAATAATTTGAGTAAAGGATCAAAGTCATCTCAGAAAATGTCTTTTTTGTTTTTCTAGGCAGCTTTTCTTTCACATGTTGCTTGCTCTAAGTCTTAAAGCTGGCTTTTTTTTTTTCTAAACCAACAATCCCACAGAAATACCTTCTATAAGGCATTTGTTTTGTCTGTGAACTTGAGGTTCTAAAGGATAAAGTTGGGGCTTCTCTCTCATCTCCTTACTCAGTATTGTTGCTCATGTGGGATATTTTTCTGTTGTTTAATTCCATCTTCTTTTCAGTGATTCAGGCTGGCGGACTTTGTTCTTCATTTTGAAGTGTTTATTTTGGAAATGAAACGCATTTTTCAAACGCTGCCCATATTCTGAAATCATAGCTGCTGTTGCTGGAATACTTCATTAGTTTGAACCTTTTTCACTTCCCCTAAGTGCCAGTAGTCTAATTATGAGCTCATTTTAAGGCCAGGAAGTAGAAATATCCAGTTGGGGTCTGCAGTTATAACCTGATGCCCACTTCCACACCACCCCCCACCCTTTTTTCCTCCCAATACTTAAGATGCTGTTCAAGTCAAAACTTTAACTGAGTCTTTTCTGGAGCTATTGTTTAGGAAGGGGCCAGAATTACTTAATTTGGAAAATCAGCCATGTCAGAAAAATCAGTAACAGGTCTGACATGATTCCAGGCATTTCTGTTAGTCACACGGAAGTGCAGCCATTGACCGTCGGACTGCAGACAGCGCAGCCCACGGGCAGAGGCACCCACGGTCATCCGTGTGAAGGAAGCCCCTGCTCCGGGCAGAGCATTTCCACTGCAAACAAAGAGGTCTGATTTTTCCCCCCCTCTTCTGCACACTTACAACTGCGTCCTGCTGGGTTTAGCTATGTAACTTATCCCCAAGAAGCAATCTTTCCCTAAAACGGTGTCACATTTTGACAGTAATTGTTAATTGCTGTGAGAAGATTTTATGGAAGGTTCTTTGCAGCTGCAAGTCAGGCAGAGGCTGAATCTCCTGAGCTGCTGGCCCACTGCACTCAGCACATAGTCAGCCCTCATCATTCACATCCTTCATTTATTTTTGCATTAAGTATGGAGACTCAGGGCTGGATGCTACTTGATTCCATATGAATTCTCAGCAGCCTGATGAGAGAACATTCTAGTCCCACTGTACTTCTCTTTAACCCAAGAGAAAGGGTCTCTTTATTATCTCCTTGCTTAATCTTGGTGAAACCTAGCATTGCTGAATACCTTTAGTCCCAATTAGCTGATTTCTTGAATCTCATAGCAAAGGTAAGTCTTGATGTTATTGTGTCCAAGAAAGGGGTTTTGTATAAAGGATAACTCAGTTATCAATTATGATAAAGATCTTTTGTCACTTGTTTTGTTTGCAGGTGTCTTTAATAAGGCTTCCCATAATCCCTTCAGGAAGAAATATTTTCTCCTTTTAAAAATAGTATTAGCTAAATATAAAAGCTCTGATCCCTGCCATTATTGTTGATTCTTTGAGGGACATTTCCCAACATTCATTGTTTAAATGGTTGTCAGGAGGAATCAAGTGAAACTTCATAAACAATGCAGTAACTGGTTCATCTCACTTTGTGTGCAGAAGTCTTTCTCCAGAGGATTTGCATTAGAGGAGCAGGCTTTTGACTGAGGTATCACTGGGATCATTGTGAAGTATTTGGGCCTGTTGCTATATTAGCAAGTGAAGATTTTTATTAAAGCCACAAAACTGAATTTGACCTGCCCTCAAATAAAGGCCAACAAAAATCAAAATGTAGATTGATTTTTTTTTCTTTTTTCAAGTTGGATAGGACCCTGTAAGGATGAAAACAAGCCGGTGGTGTTCTGGGATTCTTAATAGAATCATGTAAACTTAAAATAAACACTATTATGGTAAGCACATAGAATGAAAACTAATTTTCCAAATCAAATACATTATATTCAATTCATTTTCCCCAATCAACCAAATGTTTAAAACCTGTTAGCTATAACAGCAATCTTCTGGAAATTAATTAGAAGCATATTAGCTCTGCTAGCTGAGCCGAATGAAGAGGGTTGCTTGTTACATTTCTAAATAGGCTCCTGAATTATAGCAAAGCAAGGTCAAAATGACATTTAACTTGACTTAGCTTCATGGCTTTGCTTAAGTAGTTGATCTATATTTGGGGGTTTTCTTGAAGGGGGGGTGGTGTTTTAAAGGAAATTTTATCTACTTGTTTCAATCCTACAATAAATTTTAAAAGTGTAAGTACTAGTCATATAAAACACAGGTATCATTAATATTCTCTGTGTCAACAATAGCAGCATCTCATTGCGTGGGAATCTGAAATGAAAGTAACTTTGAGACTTCTTGTCCAGCTTGTCACCTCTTCTGAAGACTTTTGTTAGCCCTTCTCAGGATTGAGATAGTAGAAAATTTCCTGTCTGCCTTTTAGCGGCATTCACAAAACCTGCTGCTGACATCCAGTGGCCCTGTGTTTTAATGTCTCTCATCAAATTTGGGTCAAAACCCTCAAGACTCCAGCAATTATTCCTGTGCTCAGAGAAGCTTCCAGAACTTGAGTCTTTCTGAGCCCACAGTTGAGTGTAACTGAAACGGTGGAGTTGAAAAAGGGACTGGAAATTTCCTCGCCAAAAAGTTACCCTGGGTGTCCGCCTGCAGGAGATGTGTTCCTTACTAACGTTCATATCATCTAGTATTCTTGAGCCAGAAGGAACTTGGCAGGATTTATAGCAACCCAAATACAATGCAAACCCAAATCCAAAGCTTAGGAATTTTCATGAAGGAGGGAGGCAAGTTTTGCACTTATCAGAATATTCGGACTACGACTGCCATCTTCAATTTTTTTCTCTAAAGATACGCGTGTCATTTCATGCTTTTCTGAAGAATTAAATAAATGTAGAATTAATGTATTAACATTTATGCATTTGAACTTTTAAATCTGGAGTGTGCAAGTTTGACTGCTTTTTCTGTAAGACAATGAAAGTTTTGTTGGTTTTGTAAGAGTTCATAAATGTGAACCATTGAGTTAAAACTTGATTTTGTTTCCAGTTGAATCTGATGCTGAGGAATTGAGGAGAGAGACCTGGGAATCGAACCTTCCTTTTGTGCCATAATGGCTAGAGAGTCAGTATACTCTGTAGAAGCAAGACAGAAATCAGGGACCAGTTTTATTATTCCACAGACTAAATGACAGAGATAAAATTCTGTTTAAAATGTGAGCAAATTTGCTAGCCAGATAGAGGTTACATATGTGACTTGGGCCCTTGGATTTCAGCAAAAGATTGGTATTTGTGTGAACATTAGTGGGCTTTTTGTTTATTTCTTGTTTGCTTGGATAGTTGGCTATTTGTATCCAAGTTAATGGGAAACAGTGACACAGCTCATTTTGAAAACATGTCATTTACTGTTGTCTTGCATTAGAGTAAGAAATCCATGGCAACAGGGGGGCTGATGGTGGGATTCGGGCACCTGAACTGATGCAGGTGTGGAATAGTGGTGAATGAAGAAAGCAATTTCTGACCAACAAGGCCTGTTGGAAGGATAGACCAGAAGAGAGCCAAGTTTTTGAATACATGGTAGGCAATGATTTGTACAACACAAAAGAACCGCAGTTGCAGGTCACCTCAGGGTTGCCCTGAGCTTACCAGGTAGGTTAGCCGGTGGCTGGCAGTGACATCTGGTTTATCAGCGTGTTGTTCAAACATGTTTTGTTTGTTTGCTTCTTCAAAAATCATAATGCCTTTGAGCATTAATGGTATTTTTTGAATCCAAGTCATATATCAAGGTAGAAAATGGTTCTTCACACATTAAAACTAAATATCTCTATGAAAATGGCGATTGAAATACAAATAGTCTGAAGATCTTCATCTAGACCTCGGACATGAGAAAATCAACAAGGGAGGAATTCTTTGAATAGCACTTTGGTCTTCAAAACAATGTATTTGGGTAAACAAAGAAGAAGCAAAACACAGAGGCAGTAATTAAAATACATATTTTTCAGTGTTTGGCTTCCTAATACCATGGCAGAAATACCAGCAGCATAAATCTAGTCTTTTTATTTTTTAGAACAATGATTGACTTAATTTATAAAGGTACCATACATATGCAATATTTGTAAGTTTTAATCATTTTAATTCTATAAATAATTATAAATTTTAATGATTAGTCATTTTAATAATATATATATACACTCATGGATTTGTAATTCTTTCAGTGTTTCTCATGCCTATAACATATCTCCTTTTTTTTTTTTTTCCCCACCAGTCTATTTTTGAGCTCCAACTATGTGTTAGGGATGTAGGGATAAGAAAGGTGGGAGCTTTATCTTAATTCATCCAATGCACATTATTTGAGCATGTCCTTTGTGTTAGGCACCATGCTGTGCTTGGATGTGGAGTCGAATGTCATTTAATTCCCATCTTCCATGAAGCTCACCCTCCTGGGTGAG